CCCCCCCCCGCTAGCTGACCCACGCCGCGGCCCTCGGGGATCCCGCGCGCCAGATCTCACCGGGGCTCGGCCTGTAGCTGCTGAACGCGCGTTCCCAACACCTCTAGTGCTCCCCTTGTCCGTCCGGCCTCGGCCCGGAGTTCTCCAAGCTCCTGCTCCAGGCCTAATAGGCGAGATATACCGCCCCGGGGGCGGGCCAAACCCTGGAGGCGCCGCTTCAGTTCTAAGGGACCAAGTGAGAATGGGGTGGAGCAACCTAAGACCAAGGGGCGAGTACCCAGTCCCCCCTCCCCTTCCTTCCCCCTCACCTTCGCCTCGTAGCGCCAGGGCCAGGCTCTGTGCCTCTGTCTCCACCACGCGCTTAGTACGAGTCTGGTGGAGGGCCCGCAGCCGTTCCCCGGGGCTCGCAGCAACCTCAGAGCTGGGGCCCTGGGTCGGAGCCTCTGAACGCCCCCAGGGCCCTGCTGACCCCCTGGGGATTGTTGCTATCCAGGGTTGCATTTCCTGCAGGTACAGTCGCAGCCCCTGCACCTAGAGATAACAGTAACCCATGATCCCCATGTAGGGGTAACCTGACCCTTAAATGACTTATAGGTTTTGGGAGGATGCTGTTTTGAACCCGTGGGTAGCGCCCGGTGTACCTCCTCTGTTAGCTTCCTTAAAGCTGATCTGCTGGCGGCCTGGTCTGGGAAGCCCTGGTGTTGTGACACAACCTGGATACAGCGTGTGGGATGAGGAATCCTGAGAATCAGGGTGACTTGACTACCCAGCCACCGCCAAGGACTACCCAGCCCTTACCGTGGGGCTTCGTGGTTCCGAGGCTTTTGAAGGCTGTGCTCCAAGTGTCACCTCCCGGGTCAAACGGCCAATGCAGAAGCGCTGAGTGTGAGTGGCCAACAGGGCCCAGGAGCGGAAAACCATGTCACAGGACCCACAGGGCAGGAGCTCTGGCTCCCCAGAGTGGGAGGCCATGGGAAGGAATCCCTTCCCTGATGTCAAGCCAAAACCTGCAGAAGACAGGACAGAAAGCAGGGGAAAGGGAGAGGAAGAAACAGGAAGCCAGAGGCAGAGAGGAAAGGCCAGGTTTATGGGGTCTGCAGTATCAAGTTTGTTTGGGGAGGAGCTTTGGCTCCCTGGGCAGCAACTACAGGCCTGGGCAGGTCTGGAGAATGGGTGTGGAAGGCTTGGTCACCTTTGGGAGGAGGCCTTGGCTTGAAAAAATGTCACAAAGTCTGTTCCACCTCATTGCATGAGACAGGCAAGTCTCTAATACTTTTTTCTTTCTGTATTAATAAAAGGGAATGAACAGCTGCTTCTTAGACTTGCTGAACCCATGTAACACTCCATCATTGGTTATCTAATGGGCTCTGGCAGGGAAGGGTCACCTTATTCATTTTTGTTTTGCCCAAGTGGACCTATCCCAAGTTAGTGTCATTCTCCATTCCTGGAACACATCGGAGAATAGGCAGTCTGCCTTGATGAGCATTCTGCCAGGAAACCATGTCTATTTTTCTTCTGCAAAAAGCTGTTTGCATTTGGTCCAGGGCATGGGAGAGGGCTCCAGGGTTGCTAATGAGGCTGCCTAGTGGCTGCAGGGAGAGGCTCAGGCAGAGAATGCCTGACACCAGGGTGATACAGAGGGGCCCCTCAGAGGCCTCTGGGCTCCAAAGGCTCCTAGTTATGTTTGAGGGTGAGCTTTTGAAGAGATAACTTGCCCAGCCAAACCTGGGGCCAGCCGGCCTGTGGATGTTAGCCAGGTGGCCACCCATCTTGAATTTCATGTCTAGGAAGTGGTTCTCTAGGAAGTTAAGAAATGGAATCTCTGCAGGCTGAACCCAGGCATGCAGACCCAAAAGGGCCAGGTTCAGGTTCTTCTCCATGACCTAGGCAGCTTCTACGGCATCCTGGGTTTTACTCCACTCATCTTGGAAAGGCTTCTGCATGTCCTGGAGGAGTTTGCAGCTGCCTCACTTGTTTTCTGAGATGCTTGGTGCTTTTGTGCTCCTTAGCCAATTTGAGAAGTGGGCCTTGCATTCCAGAGCCACATCCTTGGGTCAAAATAGAAGCCCGAAGAGGTGGTGTAGGAGGCCTGCAGATGCAAGTTAATCAGGTTGATGGTGGCTTCCACCTTCGTGAAATTATTCTGGCAAATCTGGGAGCTCATGGTTGCTCAACAGTGAGTTAAGCTCAAAAAACAGTGTTGGTTGTTCCCAAAGGCGGAGGATTGCCGAGATGGTTTTGAAGTTTGCAACTGAAAAAGAGGTTGGAGAGTGGTGGGAGGCTGAAAGGGGCGTTATTGGGTCTGTTCCATCCAAATACTGAAGAGACAGGCCTGCAGGACTGCTGAGCACACTCCCATGTCTTTCTCCTAGACTGAAAAGCTTTTCCTTGCACTGGGCTTCTCTGGAAGCCACCATAGCTTTTTCACAACCAAGTCCCATTAAAGCTGGCAGTCTCTCCTTAACTCCCACTCCATTTTCCCAGCTGGAGAGGGAGGATGATCAGCACAGCACAAGGAATGAAAGTTTTGGGAAAACAGTCCACCAGATGAGGGAATCAAATACAGAAAGGTACTTTTCACTTGACACCAGTCAAGCATGCCTTTTCCTGTTGGCCAAACCTCCCTGTCACCTCCCCAAATGTGTGTGTACAAGAGGCAGGAACTCCAAGCTAACCCCAGGTTCCTAAACAAGTCAGGGACTTAGAGTAGTGCCCCCCTCCCCCACTGCCACCAGTATGTAAGGCCAAGCAAAGTATGACCAGCAGCAGCAGCTTACAAAGTGTTTCAAAGTATGTGATCACAGTCCAGCTTAATTCCAAGTGATAAAAAGGGCATTTCTAGAAATTTGTCCTGAGAAAGCTATTAAGTGGCAAAACCCAAGGCCAAATAGGTGGGATTATTTATCTCAACCTTTTAACTTCCAGTTTAATATAGTACAGTTACGTGCCTCTTAATGACAGGCATACATTCTGAGAAATGCCTTGTTAGGCCATTTCGTCTTTGTGCGAACATACAAACCTAGATGGTATAGCCTACTTACTACACACTAGGCTGTATGGTGTAGCCTATAGCTCCTAGGCTACAAGCCTGTACAGCACGTGCAAACCATGAGATTAAATCAAGCACAAGAGAAAATTGCATCGAGAAATGGTAAGCATGAAATAGATGAGACTGCTGCCAGCATAACGTGGCATAGTGCTTCACAGCAAACTTTCTTTTGTAAGTAGAAAGAACACACTCTATTGATAAAATAGTAAATACATAAATCAGTAAGTTATTATCAAATATTATGTACTATGTTTATCTCTATGTACAACTGGCAGGGCAGGTTTGTTCACACCAGCATCACCACAAACATGTAAATAATGTGTTGTGCTTATGATGGCTATGTCACTAGGTGATGGCAATTTTTTAAGATACATTATAATCTTATGGGAGTACTGTTGTGTATTCTGGTCTGTTGTCATTATGTGGTACATGAATGTATTTCATTGATTCTAAAATGCATAGGATTAAAATACTAAAATCAGATTCAACTAATGAAATGTCATAATTTAACTGGTAAGTTTTCTATTAGTACATAAAAATATGCCTTAAAGTAGATATATTCCATGAAATACAATATAGTTCTTACTGCTCTATCTCAGCCACTACTTCCACATGGACTGTTCATACCACTAGCAGAAGAGACTCTAGTACAATATGGTAGATAGGGTCTCTGCCTGCCAAACCTTTAGAATCTAGCAAATGTCATTCTGGTCTGTCTCTAGCCTGTACCCCTTCCCCTTCTAAACCCCACACTTCAAGTTAATCATCCTTTTAACATGAAATCAGTCCTGTTACTCCTCTGTTGTCACCCATTAGAGTATGATCTTGGACTTCTATTTCCGCTAGGGATTATATACTGTAGGGACTGCCAGAGTGCCACTGTCAGTAAATATCTGTTGTTTAACTTCTGCTAGTCCATCAGATCTTGCCTAAAGTTTCATTAAAAAAATTGAAATTAACTTACTGATTTTAGAGTGAGAGGGAGAAACATTGATTTGTTTCACTTACTTATGCATTTTTTGGTTGATTAAAAACAAAATTTGTATTGATTTTTGGAGGGAGAGGGGGTGAGAGAGAGAATCATCGATGTGAGAGCAAAACAATCTGCTGCCTCCTGCACACCCCCTACTGGAGAATCAAGCCGCCACCCAGGCATGTGCCCTGACCAGGAATCAAACCAGCAACCTTTCAGTGTGTGGAACAATGCCCAACCAAGCCACACTGACCAGCGCTCATTGGTTGATTCCTATGTTGTGTCCTGACTGGGGATAGAACCCACAACCTTAGCATATGGGGACGATGCTCTAACTGAGCTACCTGCCCACGGTAAAGTTTCATTTTTAACATAACTGTGTATTCTCTTCCCTGCTGGGCCAGGCACTCTTTGTAACACCCTGAGCCTTGCACAATGCCTGGTATACATGACAGCCTGGGGAGTATTTGTTGAATAAAAAAACCGGCCTCCTCCACTGGTCACCCAGCCAGCATTGGCTCAAACCCTTTCCCCTATATTCTTATTTAGCAGGAAAATTGAGGCACAGACCTTTAAAACACATACATTGGTAAATACATGGGCAGTGAACAACAGTTTCCGGAAATAAATTTGGGTTTCTGATTTTATTACTGGTAATTTATTGCACAGGTTTTTCTGCATCAAAAAAGGAGCTGCTAAAAGGAGAAACAGATGTGTCTGAATTCAGATGTTCCTCAGACTGTCAGAAGTATTTTCCCTAAAAAAGAAATCACTCATCTAATTTTAAAGAAAATATACTTTTTACACAAGACAATCCAAACTGATGCAAAATATTTATTCCAAGTTAGTTATTTTATGCAGTAGTTTCCCCCTCAAGGCTTGTGATAACCACATCTTTTAAATCTGTAAATAATGTTATCAAAATAATCTTAATCTTTGAAATCTCACAAAAATTTATATTTTACAATCCACCCTGAATATCAAGGCTGCAAGAATAACACATTTCCTATATCCAAATATTTTACAGCTGTACCCAAAAAAGAAAAAAAAAATAAACACAAAAAAACCCCCACATATGCTTGGTTAAGGGCTAAAGTTACCCGAGCAGCCAAAAATAAAATAAAATATCCAAATTATTAGCATTAATTTAATACAATTATAACTTCAATAGTCACTTTGTCATTGACAATGATTGCTTGAGCACAGGGGTGAGTGCCCCAAGGGCTGGTGGAAGCTGTAGCTGCAGACCAGTGTCTCCTCTCTGTACTGCCAGCTCCCACTTGTGCATTGCCCCATATATACTGTGTGTGTGTTTTAAAAATCTTTCCCACCACACAAATTTCTCTCTATTAAGCAGATAACAGGAAAGAACAACAACAAAAGCTAAACAAGCCAATCGCTCTCTCTTTGGGATATGATTATTTCCCTTGTGCATGAAATATTCAACAACAACATAAGAAAAGGAAAAGATTTCTTTTGTATACTCCTTAAGCACACAAGCTGAGTTTATGGGTCAGATTTAACTGTGAACATTTATACGCCTACTTCCAGGCATCGTCATCTGATGTTTCACTGCTACTGGTTTCCGTGTCTGAGTCCTCAAACTCTGCTTTGCAAGTGCTTCTCCAAGGGGAGAACAGGCTGGAACTGCGGCTTTGCAAGAAGCCATTCTTTCCAAAGCCATTTCTTCTCAGCTGTGGTAAGCAAGGGAAACAAAAAGAAAACAAAACATAAAACATCAATATTGACACTGGCCCTTGGAACCTGGGAAAGACCAGGCCTGAATTCAATTCTAGGCAGAATGTAGAGGGAGACCCTCCTAAGAGATCAAAGATTGCTTGTTGCAGTGCTTATCACACACTTTAATGCGCAAACAAATCATCTAAGGATCTGTTTAAAGTGCAGCTTCAGAATGAGAATGACTGGGGTAGGGTTTGGGATTTCCTGTTTCTACAAGTTCTCAGGTGGTAACAATGACAGGGAAACAGAGTTCTGAGTAGTGAAGTCTTTTAGCCTGTATTTTCATTTTATAGGACACAATTGTTATTTATGCATTATATATATATACCACCAGGACATAAGCTCCATGAAGTTTGTAGAGACCCTACTGGTCTTGTCCATCACTGTAAACCCTAAGGTCTGGCAGTATTTTATTCAGAGCAAGAATCCAAGCATTTATTGAATAAATTCATATTTGGCTTTGTGGCTCTGGCCAGAACATCAGAGGAAACCCACAGGGCTAAAAGCAGAGGATGGTGAGCCTGCTTCCCTAGGGACCAAGGGTTCAGTCCATAACTTTCGAATAGTCTTGTGGTTCTGATAAGGGGTGAAAGCTTCCAGGATAAAGAACATACTACCTTCTGAAATCTGCTAACGACTGACCTGGCTTTTGTACGCAACACTGGAGATCCCTACTGCCTAGGCAGGT